ATTTTCCTGTGTGGTTTAATCACCAAGTAATAACGATGAACAAAACAATTTACGCACATAATCAGAAATCAGGTTCAAATCACCATAAGAAAAGTCAAAGTCAAATTGCTGTGGTTTCACAAATGCGACCAATTAATTATAACCATTGTTATTTCAGAACCTGCTAAAATCCCCAACCTCGCTTATTCTTTGATCTTGAACGACAGAATAAAATTTTGTGGGTTTCATTACTGCCACCTACTGGGTCTTGATCACCGGTGAACTGAAAGGAAAATCAAGGCAACTACAGAAACCTGATTTCTCCTTTTGTTAGCTACTTTTTTACCCTGATTTGATGCAGGTATGATATAATTAAGGATGCGTGTGTGAGATGATTGGTCTTATATAATGGTTCCTGCACAATAGGCCAACAACTGTTGTTTAAAAAAAAAAAGTTAATTAAATAGGGGGTGGTATTTTGGCATTCTTTCACGTTCCTGTGTTCTCAGGTTTTCCACAGCCTTGGACATAACATTTATATTTAGCACTGACTCATTGTTGAAGCTCAGTCATTCTTCTAAAATACCAAACATTTAAAATTCTTCTCTAATCAGACCAGATAAACGAAGCACCGCTAAAGAGTCCGGGTGTCATTTGACCATGACTCCTTCACGGGCTGAAGGTCTGACTGACATGAATGGCATGTCAGGAAATGAATGGCAGAATAGGACAGGCAGGAAGAGGGAGCTCTACATGGACTTCCAGTGAACTGTGTCAGCCTCCTACGCACGTTTCCTTCTCCATTTCCTCTTTTTGTTTTGCTTTACGGCCAAAAAACATGCCAATCTTCTTCGTATTGAGGGAAGTGATTATGAGTCATGGTTTGTGAGGGTGGTTTCACATTTAATGATGACTGGTGATAAATCTTTTGGCTAGCTGTCAGTAGCATAACATGCTAAATCAAAGCATGATGAAGGGTAGTCATACACCAGTGTTTTGAATGTACTTCATTTTAAGCTGATCATTTTAGCCACTGCCTAAAGTTACATAGTTGACATACTCTTCTTTTTTTATCATCTGTTTCCCTTCGTGAGTCACCACAGTGGATTGTCTAACCGAATTTCAACTTTCTCCTCGTCTTTCTTGCTTTCTCAATGCTCCTCTTCAATAATTTACCCAATGAATCATCTCAGTCGTCCTCCTCTGTCGGAAGTTTTGGTAAAATACGTCTCAACCTCTAACACTACATTCAAACTTCTCAGACTTTGTCCCTCCGACCATGTCATATGTAATATTGTCCATCCTGGTCGCTCTCTCGAATATTTTGACACTGGTTTGGACTGGACAGAAGTACGTGTGTTTGTGTGTGTGTTACTCACAGATATAGGATAGTCAGGGTGAAGAAGGAAGGAAGACACAAACACTTTCTCTGGATATTTGAAAAAAAAAAAAGACATGGTGGCAAAGAGTGTGTTCCTATTTCCATTTCCTTCTCTCTTTTTACATCCTTCATCTTTTTCATAATATTTAGGCACGTGTGCGTTTTTTTGCGTGTGCTTAAGTATTATGAAATATCTACATAAGTTCCTGTGTTTGTACTAGGCATCTGTCACACTTGGTTAATCACATTAATTAATTTGTGTCGAATAATCTTTTCATTTTTACACATTTTATCACATGTGCAGAATGGCATTCTCATTGTATATCTAATAATTTCACTCTATTGTTAGTGGATACACAACAAGCTTAAAATACCATTTCATCCAGAGAAAGCCTCCCAGCATGCACAGTAAATAAGTCTGACAAGCCAACCAACACAATTGTGAAATGTCAAAAAGCAGAAAGTTTTGAAGGCAAATTTCAACATTTTCTATGACCGACACAATTATTAAATGTCAAAAGGCAGAAACTTTTGAAGGCAAATTTCAACATTTTCTACAAGGCACTGTTAAGATGCACAGTCATGACTTAAATCCTCCAACTTTATGGGAAAAAAAATGTACCTAATATTTAATACATTTTCTGGGGAACTAAGTTAAATGTTTGGAGAATTTCCACATTTTGCTAAATAAAAACATGTGTGAAAAACACATGTACAACAGCTGCTGTTACTCCTCTTTTTATTCCAGCAAAATATAGTGACAATTTACCCTAATTATTCATAATTAATCATGACAATATATGACTGGTTGATTAATTCCCAGTTCCAATGTGATTACTCTCATTAAAATGCAATTGATTATTAATATGTGATTATTATTGATATATAAGGGCTATCAATTAATTAAATTTTTCGATTAGATTAAAATAATATTTATATACGGTGTTTATACAGTATGTGATAGACAGACAGACAGACAGATAGATTTAGGCATGTTATGCCTTTCACTTGCCAGCAGGTGATGCTAAGTGATCATTTAAAAGCCTTTTTCAACTGTGTCTTTACATAGCCAACACTAGGGGTCGGCAACCTTTAACAATCTAACCGCCATTTGGACCCATTTACCACAGGATAGAAAACACTGGGAGTCACCAAGCCCTTTTGATATCTAAAATGAAGATAACAGATTACCTTTATGATATATACATATATTTACTGTATATATATAATTTCTGCATGCCACTAAAATATTTTGAAAGACGAGTGTGCTTGTATACCTGTATCTCCTTGTCTGTGTCTTACTTGTATACCTGTATCTCCTTGGCTGTGTCTTTTCCTTCAGGGTTAATGGCTTGCCATCAAATACGACGGGGATCTTGTCCTGGTCCTTTTCCCGTCCTCTCAGAAACCTGACCTATAGACAAGGTCACATCTATTACATCCTATTCTCAGATGCAAATTAGATCAACCTTGATCCACAAATCTTAAATCTCATCAAATCTCAAATCTTAAGCTTCAGTTGTAAAAGATTAAATAAGATTAAATATTAAATATGAGGATTACACATTGAACAACTCACATTTGTCCTGTTCTAGAGAACTGTCTCTAGTAATAATACTTATTATGGTAAGTAACCACTAACATTGACCAGAATCAGAAAGCGTAACGTAAAATACCAATAATGAGTAACTTATGAATGAACCAATATTGAATGAATATTAGGATACATAAAATACGAAGGAATGCACGTAGTGAGTTATTTTAAGATGTATCAAAGAACCCCGCATTCACCATAGGCCGACCAGTGCTAGAAGAAACCACAGCAAAATATCCTCCTAGTTACTTTAAACTGACATTATAAATAAAAAAAAATGTCTTTCTTTAGTTGTTAGTTGTTGTTGACTTTAGTTCAAAGCTAAATGTTTGTTATACTATGTGTTAAAAAGGGCGGGGCAAACATTTCTCACCGTTTTTCGGCGTTTCAAGCTATGCACGCGATGTTGGGGTTTGTAGCGGCTCACAAAATGGAGGATAATTAGCCTGTGAAACACCGAATTAGCATTAACATAAACAATGTGTTAACGGGCTTTTTGTTTTCAATAAACGAACCATCTTTACGACATTTTTCTCATTTTCCCGTCCTTTTTGCAAGTAGCTTCTTTCCTTCCTGCTGCTTAGAGAGGGCAAAATAAACAGCGCGTTTGCACTGCACTTCCTCACTGACAAGCTGGACGGGACCTGCGTAGCTCCTGATTGGCTGTTGAGGGCTGGACTCCCTCGGCCCCACCCAATTGGTTTTCCATGAATCAAGTGGTGCATTCAAGTATAATATGACATTTGAAATGTTGCCAATGTGCACATTAGAAAATGATTAAATATACACTCTCTGCGATCTCTAACTATGGGTTTCTCACCAAGACTACACAAATGTTTTAATTTCCTTTAAGTGTCGCGTCTGGCGTTCCACGGCGTTGAAAGGTTATCATAAAATTTATAGTTACAGTTTAAACATTAACAAACTAAAATAAAATATAAACATTTAAATTAAGTAGTTACATTTTTCCCAAAGCGAACCGCCACAAAGGGATGAAAGAGGCGCTGGTTGCCAGGAGTATAAAAACGTAAAAGAAAGTTTGGTCGCCACCTGCGCTTAAAAAAACAAACAAATAAAAACCCTTTCGTTTTTTGATAACGTTTGGACGTGTGTGTAAGCACATTATCTATCAAGTGCGTCATTAAAATGGCCCATTAAAAAAAAAAAAACATTATCCACTTTTGACCACTAGGTAGAAGCAAACTCCCGTCCTTCGTGCTGCAGCACACCTGCGAAATTGAATTTGGAAAAGAACTATCACAAGAAATTAAATAAGTTGCTTTTAGATTTTTTTTTCTTTCAGTTTTGTGAAATGTGGAAAATATAATAATTTTGCAATAATTATGTATAGATAAAATATTTGAAACAGAATATTGCCTTTTTTTCACCCATAATATATTATGCATGAAATCAGCAATTTGTATGACTCACATTATCTTTTAAAGACCTCATTCAATGGTTTCACCCTTGCTGCATTTCAGACACTAAGCAGGCCCAAAGGTGCATAACCTCT